TTTTTTAAGTTCCAGCCCTTGGAACACCGACGACATTCACCCAACTTAGCAGGAGTGCTCTGTCCAACCTCCCAGGCGCTGTGGGCATGTGTGTGGGGGGGAGGGGGGCAGCCATGGTTCAGAAGGACAGGTGAGGGGCACAGATGGTCCTGTCTCTGCAGACAGTCTCCCCAGAGGGTGTGACTTCTCCTTTGGGGTTTGCCAGCTTGCTCAGGCACACCTCCATGCAGAGAGCAGGACATCTGTGTGCTGGGGAGGCCATGTCACGCCCTGTGTGGCGATGGGTGTCGCTGCATTTGAGTTTCTCTGACCTTCCTTCTGCCTCGGAATTTCTCCTACACCTTCTTGTAGAACTTACATCATGACAGGAGTTAAAATTAGGCCTATGGTTCGTTTTGAGTTAATTCTTGTATGGGGTGTGAGGGATTTACCAAAGTTCAATTTTCTGTGCAGGTGGACAGTCAACTGTCCCAGCCCCACCGTTGAGAGCCTTCTCTCTGTATGGAGCTGTTTCTGCGCCTTTGTTAAAAGTCAGTTACCCATATATTTACAGGTCTATTTCAGAAATACATGTATTTTGTTTTCTTGATCTCTTTGTCCATCTGCATGCCAATACAATACTGTTTTATTCTTGTAACTTTATAATAAGATCTGAAATCAAGTAATGTCTGTTCTCCAGATTTGTTCTTCCTTCTCAAGCCCTTTTGATTATCCTAGGCCTGCTGTGTTTTCATTTGAATTTTAGGACCAGATTATCAATTTTTATAAAACAAAGGGCTTTGGGGTTTTTTACTGAGATCGTGTTGAGTCTGTGTGTTAACTTTGGGAATATCACCATCTTAATAATATGGAGTCTTCAGACCCAGAATATGGCATAACTTTCCATTTATTTAGGTTTTATGTAATTCCTCTCAGCCACATTTTACCGTTTTCAGTATATAGGCTTTCCACATCCTTTGTCAGGTTTATTTCTAAGTTTGTTTTTTTGGGGTTTTTTTGGTTACTGTAAATGCTATTTTTATTCTTATTTCAGTTTCTGATTGTTCATTACTAGCACATAGAAATGCAAGTGATTTTCTTATATTGATCTTATATCTTGCATTCTTTCTAAGCTTGATGAATGGTCCTAGTAGCCAGCTTTTTGTAGATTCATATATTTTTGCCAAATTTTGTTTGTTCATGTGGAAAGATAAATTTAGGCTCTGCTAATCCATTTGGCTGTAAGTGGGAGTTTGGAGGGCCTGCTTTTAAAAAGTGTGCCTACTATGGGGGGAGGGGGAAAGGGAGTGGAGCAGCGGATTGGGGGAGGTGCTTGTCACTTTCAGGAGTAAAAAGTATAACTATTGCACTGTGTTATATACCTGAAACTAATTTTAAAAATAAATAAATAAATAAATAAATAAATAAATAAATAAATAAATAAATAAATAAAAATAAGCAGTTTACCTACTAAGGTGGGTGAGGGCATGGTAGACTTGCTGTTTTTAGTCTAGGCATGGTGTCCGCAAGCTCCAGCACACAGTGGAAATAATGAGTCTAGTCTGCACTGGCTGTGGTCCACGATGGGGGTGGGGTATTTCTTAGAACACTTTGCCCAGTGAGTAAGATATATGAGAACTTGGGGGTGGGATCCCCACCTGCAACTGAGTGTGTTAGGCCCAGTAATGATTTAGTGTTCACCACTAAAGGACCACTCGACAAAGTAGGCATCCACATAATAGAATACTCCGCAGCCACTAAAAAATGCCAGATCAGTCCACTGGCATGGAAAATGCTTGTGGTTTATTACTGTGTTCATTTTCTAATGCTGCTTACCAATTTATCACAATTTTAGCAGCTCAGAACAACACCCATTTATTATCTCACAGCTCTGAAGGTCAGAGGTCCTGCTGGGCAAAATCAAGCTATCACCTAGCATGGGCATGGGGAAGGATCCACTTACAGACTCATTAAAGCTGGTGGCAGAATGCAATTCCCTGTGATTGTAGGACTGAGGTCCCGTCTCCTTGCTGGCCAGCAGCTGGGCTCATTCTCAGCTCCCAGAGGCTCCCCACATTCTCTTGGCTGTGGGCCCGTCTTCAAAGACAGTAACGGTGCATCAAATCCCTCTTGTGCTTCCATTTTTCTGACCCCCACTTTTGCCTCTTGGTCCCACCCAGATAATCTGGGACCATCTCCCTATGTTAAGGTCAACTAATAACCTCGATTAAATCTAGCAACTTCCTTTGGCCACGTCAGGTAATATATCCATGGGCGTGGGGGGTACGCATACGCGTATCACAGGGCCTGGATTCAGGCAGGGAGTCTCGGGGGCATTTTTGAATTTTGCCTTACACGATTAACACAGGTTCTCTCTTTCTCTCTTTCCCTGTCTCTTTTTCTGGGGAGGTGGGGGGTAAGAGGGAGAGTTCCTTCTCCAACCTCTCTTGGACCACTTTCTCTCTGGTTTCACCGCCAAAAGCTGGACACAGCCCAGATGTCCTTCAGTGATGAATGGTCACACCAACAAACCGTGATACGTCTACACCGTGGGACACCACTCAGCAATCAAGAGGGATATGAGTGTTGATATCCCCCGAACACGATGGATCTCAGAGAATTAGACTGAGCAAAAAAGCCATATATACCAGACCCCATTTATATAAAATTCTGGAAATGATAAAATTAGAAAAACAGAACAGACTATTTGTTGCCAGGAGTTAAGGAAGGGGATGGAGAGTGGGAGGGAGGGAGGTGTGGTTATAAACGGGCAACATGAGAGATCCTTGTGGTGATGGAAATAAAACATACCTTGACTGTGATGATGGATACACAAACCTACACATGGGGTAAAATAGCATGGAACTAAATGCACATGCATACGTATGCACACACATATGCACCCCCACACACAGATACACACATACACATATGTGCATGCACACATACACACGCATAGACACAGGCACACAAACACACAGACATACACAGACACATGCACGCACGCACACATACACACACACACACATGCACACCAGTGAATATAATTTAAAATATAGTAGTGTCAATATTCTGGGCCTGTTACTATTAGATGTTATTTTGGGGGGAAATTGAGTAAAGAGCACACAGAATTTCTCTGATTTACTTCTTACAACATAGGTGAATTTACAATTATTTCAGAATAAAAAATTTAATTGAAAATTAAATTGAAGATTCTCTCCGACAAACAAAAATGAAAGGAATTCCTTGCCCAGAACCCCGTCCTAGAAATGTGTGAGGAAATTTCCAGGCAGAAGGAAAGTGATATAGGTCAGGACGTTGGGTCTGCGTGAAGCAGTGTGTGTGCAGAGGAAGAAATGAAGGCAAGACAGACTTTTATTGTTCTTATTCTCAGTTAATCTAAATCACTGGTTGTGGTTTTGCAGCTTTTTTCTTACAATTAGGGCTAATTTTTTGTGTCAAGCAGGTTTTTTTGAAAGCGTGCAGGCCCCAGGCAGGCCTTGTGCTGATGGGCTGATGGCCGAAGGTTTGAGAGAAGCCCCAAGGGTGCCCCAGCCTCAACCAGCCATTTCCAGCCTCTCTAAGGAACCATGGCAGCTTTTATGGGAGGGTGACAGCTGACCCCTGAGCACTTGGGTGTTGTCCAATGCCATGGTGGGGAGTGACAAAAGCAAGGGCACCAGAGTCAGGCAGACTTGAGTTAACACCCACCTGCCTCTTAGTAGCTGTGTGACCTTGGGCAAGTTACTTAACCTCTCTGGTCTCAGGTCTTATATTTAACAGGGTTTTTCAGTGCAGTGGTGGCAGTTATAAGACCTAACACATGGAATACAGACTGCCACATAATAGGTGCTAAAATACGTTCATGGCCTTCCTTGTGAGATGTTTCTGACTGTCCCTTCAGCTGTGTAGGTGGTTGGCACCCTCACTTGGGAGACTCCATCCTTGACCAAGTTCACATGTAAGACAACACTCTGTCCTTGTTGAGACTATCACTTCTCAACTGTCCTCAAAACTGGGGCTGGGGCCATGTTCTGGACGAGGCCTTGCAGCTCAAGGGATGAGTTCTAGAGCCCACAACCTGAGACCAGGAGTATTATGCTGCCGTCCCAGGGCTCCCACACCTGGCATCTTGGTTTTGATGCAAGTCCACCCAGCAGTCAAAATGGTGTCTTTAGAATGAAAAGGAGTTCTGACAAGCCTCCACTCCCTAAATCCCTCAGGGGCTCACATTGCACTTGAATCAAGAGGTGTTAATTATGAAGGCTAACAGAGCCCCAGAGCTGATGCAGCCCCATCCTCTCTCCTTGCCCTGGCTCACCCCTCCCCAGCAGCTCTCTGATTGCGTGCTGCCTCAGGGCCTTTGCACTTTCTGGTCCATGTGCCTGGAATGCCCTCCCCTCTCTGGAGACGCTGGCTCTGCCTTTCCATCCATCTAAAGCAGAGGCCCTCCTTCACCCCTTGGCAGCCCTCTCTTTGTCTCTGTTTGTCCCATGGTGCTCACCACAATCTGAAATCATCACACACATTTATGTGTTTACCTCACTTCTGCCTATTTCCTCCTTCAATAACGTCAGCTCTATGGGACAAGGGACTGTGACTTTGACATTGCTGTATTGCTGGTGCCCAGGTCTGGTCCAGCACATAGTGTGAGGGGTTCCTGGTACCTATTTGTAGATGAAGGATTGCTCCTTCCCATCTTGGCTCAAGTCTCATCCCTGCAGGGGCAGCCCTGACCCCAACCCCAGGAGAGCCGGCTCATTCTAGTGCACACTCTGTGAACGTGCCCCAGGGACGCGTGCCAAGATCCAGTGACCACAGACCGTCATAAGGTGTTAAGCACGAGGACAAAGCCTTCTCAGGCCAGGCTGGGGGCCAGGATGGGAAGTGCTGGGTAAGGGGTGACCAAGTGTATCATCCCCAAGCCTGTGCAGTCACAGCAGGACCACTTGGGGTTAGGTCGGGGGGGGGGGCTCCTAGGTCACCACCAAGGCAGGGGGATTGTACTGGTAAAAACTCACTTTCCTTTTCCAGGTCTCAGACTGCCCCCACTCCCCCAGCGGTCACAACGCTGCCATAAAAACCAGCTCAGCAGCTGCCACTCAGCCCGTTGGTCTTCAGCCAAGCAGAGTAGGACGCCCCCGCTCCCCACTGGTCTCTCTGTATCTCCATCCACTGAGGCTCCAGGAGAGAAATGACTTTTCCATAAAGATTTCATTTTTGTTGGAGTCTGTCCATGTCTCTCTGTTGTCATAAAAATTCAATAGGAAACTTCTATAAAAGAAGAGGCATAATTAAAAAGACATAAGGACAGTGCCAAGAGAGGCGGAAGATGAAAGACCAAGCGACCAGCACAGGCAGGGGATTTTATGAGTTACCAAAGAAAGAAAAACACACCTCGCGGGAACTGTGCCCAGTTCACACCAAGCTGACTGCCTGAGGAGCGGTGCACTGGGCCAGCCGGACATTGGTCTCTGAAACCGGGGCCAGGCACTCGGGGCTGCCTTGCTCAGTGTGAGGCTGTATGCACGCGCACTGGCTGGACAGGGGCACAGACGTTGGGAGACGTTGCAGCTGCAGCTGTAGGAAGCCACTCGCAGTAACATCAAAAGCAGGAGGGCCCTGCCCATGTTAGAGCCACAGAGCTCTGGAGACAGGATAGTCCTGTGCAGTTTCCTGACCTGGGAGTCGGGTGTGCAGCCTCTGTGACCTGCAGGTCTGTGCAGGGGGTCTCGGTGGTGGGAGAAGGCTGGTCAGCCCAGAGGCCATCCCCACACTGGCCCTTGCACCCACACTCATCGCACAGCTGCAGCTTGGTGTTGGTGGGAAAGTCAGACAAGGCGCTAAACACGCACGTTCTTCCAGAACCAGACTGGAAACTGGTAACAGGGATTACCTCAGGGGAAGGACATCAGATTTTAGACAAGAAGACACAGGCGGCTTTTTGTACTTGAAGTTTCTTACAATGTGTATATATTAATTTTCAAAAAAAATTAATTATGACAAAAGGATACTGTTGTTAACAATAATGATGAAAAAATTATGCGGATATTTTGTAACTTAAAAGATAATACAGGGACCCAAACCACAGTCTAGTAAATACAACTAACTGCTCTGTACCCAACACCCTCCTTAGGCACAAGGATGAGAAGCGTGTGTCTTTGGCACCAACAAGAAAAGCAGGGGAGCGGGGAGTGTGCGGCCAGGACTGCAGGCAGGGGGTGCCTCGAAGCTTCCTCTCACCTTCATAATAAAGAATTGGGATCGCTTTTAGAAATGTGCAACGAACAAAATTAAAGGAAGCAAAATAATATTTATAAAAACAACGACGGCTCACACTTATATAGTGCTTCATATATAATAGCTAATTTCATCCTAATGACAACACTGTGAGATGGGTGCTGTCATTATCTTATTTTACAGATGAGGAAATTGAAGCCCAGGGAGGCTAAGTAACTTTTTCACAGTCACACCGCCAGGATGTTGGAGCTAGGATTAAAGTGGACCGTGTGGCTTTAGAGTCCACACATCATATCTACAATATGTGTGCAGAGCATTCAGATTCCAAATCATTTTGTTTGAACAGCTCAAATGAAAAGTAGAGAAAATACAATCCACAGATCCAAATAGACATGTCTGAAGCCATAGGGGTCCCATGGTCTCATTCTCACCACACAGAGAATCCCTTTAACTGTCACAAATGGTGACAAGGACAAAGCAGAGGCAAACACGAGTTTCTCTCAGTTCAAGCCTCAGGAGAATGTGAAGGGGCAGACGGAGCGATGGGAACTAACGGCCCAGTGGAAACATTCACTTTTGCCCCGAAGGCCTGGAACAGGAAGAGACCCCTTCCTCAGGGTTAGCATTGCACAACTAGAGGGGAACCTGGTCCTGTGTGCTCTCTGCTGGGTATACTGGACTTTTAATCAAAGATGGCTGAGCCACCCCACCCTGTCCCCAGTGCAAACCCCCTCCTCTGGGAAGCCTCCTCTGCTGCCTTCTTCTGTAGCCAATCTCTGCAGGGCTGTCCCCTCATTGCATCCTGCACCATTCCCGGTGTCTTCTGGAATACTAGTCCTAGCTGCACCGTCGGGGTGTGGGGCCCTCGGTTTTCCCTCTTAGCTACAGTGCTGGCCTGGCTGGATGGAAACACAGGTGGAAAAGCTTTTGCTCCTGAGGAGGGGGTGAAAGCCAATGGCCGACCTGGGGGCTGGGGACCTCTCCACCACCTAGTGGCAGGCTGGCCTCTCCTTCCTGTGTGGCAACTTGCCTCCTGAAGGGCCTGGTCATCCCAACCACTGGCCTCTGAGATGGGTCTGAGCAAGTCTGAACTGAGTCCTGGGTTCCTGGAGACGAGCTCCCTACAGGGCTCGGGCAGGGGTGTCCTGGCCTCACCTGACCCTGCTTAGCTGTCAATCTTCGGAGAGGACGAGCATGGTGACTCATACACTCATACACGTGCAGTAATGATGCTATGTCCGCTCCAAGCATCCAGGTAGACGTAATGAAAGGTTGATGGAAGGCTTTTTGAAGCCATAAAGTTCCCATGGGTTCATGATCGCTTCCTCAAATGGAGGCCCTGACTTTTTTTGGGGAAAAAAAAACGTGGTCAAATAAACCCATTTTGTTACAGAATATAAATACTAAGGAATATTAACATTTGCCTGGAGATTGGGAAAGTTATATAAGGAAAGCAGTCTGCATGTTGACCCAACTCCAGTCATCTCCTATGATCACAAAAGGCAGGGAGCATTTGGAAATCAGGTACACGGGTCGACATGAACTCCCACACACGGGTCCAAACCCAGCCCCCAAACATAAGAAATGAACGTTGTAGACAAATTAAGGAGAACCTGGCGAGATGTGATGGGCCTGTGCTCAGTTAGAGGCCATTCTCTAACTGCCAGTTAGCTCTTTCTTACCTGGGAAAATGAGTACAACGGGAATCACAGGCACTCCAACAGGCATGACTGTCCTCCAGTCACCAACATTCTTCCAGGGCAGCAGTTCTCAACCTGTGGGTCGCGACCCCTTTGGGGGTCAAACAACCCTTTCACAGGGGTCGCCTAAGACCATCGGAAAACAAAAAGATATTTACATTATGATTCATAACTGTAGTAAAATTACAGTTATAGCGTAGCACCGAAAATAATTTTATGGTTGGGGGTCACCACAACAAGAGGAACTGTATTAAGGGGTCGTGGCGTTAGGAAGGTTGAGAACCACTGCTCCAGGGTGATACTTGAACACACTCTTCTCTAGGTTGACCCTGTCCTGTCTTTCTCTCTGAACTGTGGTGTATAGCAGAGTTACTTCCTCACAGTTCACACGTGACACTGTGCTCAGAACAGTTGGATCTTGGGTTCTGATCTTTGTTCCCACAGTGGGAGTAAGTCTGGGTGACCAGCAACCTCTTTCATCTCTTTGGGCCTCGATAAAGAAAGGGGCTAAAGCTATAGTGACAAAGCTACAAAGACAAAGGCAGCGATAAAGTCTCAGTTCATCAGCAAGAAGCGTCCATCACTGCTCAACATGCCCAGGCTCACCAACAATTCCCCTGATTAGCTTTGTCCCCAAAGTTCCTAGGCCCTAAAAGCTACACTTCACTTAGCAATAATAATACATTTTGCCAGTTTTCATTGGCCAAAATCATACTTAATGATCAAGCAGTAGTCCTGACCAGCAAGGAAAAAGAAAACAATATCTCCATGAAAAATATGATATAATTCCAACCAAGAGCAATGGCACTTAACGTTTTAGTTATGGGTGACTGTATAGCTTATATTTGGAAATTATGTTTCTAACTTATAGAAATTGCCCTTGAACCCTATACTACCTTCATGAATCCATTTGGGACCCAGGGTCCTTTAATTACTGCCATTGGTGGCCTCCAGGCTCTGGTGTTTCATGGCATTTATCTTAAACTCTGGTGCCAAGGGGGCAGGCTACAGAGGACTCTCATCTACATCCAGTGAGAATGAGATTTGGTACAATCTTTGTGGATGCCAGTTTTGCAAATAGGTTTTAAAAAGCTTGGGTCTAGAAGAAATTTTCATTTTGATGATGGTGGAGTAGCTCCTACTGGCCCAAACCCTATAGAGAACAATTATAAACTCAGAACAAATACTTTAAAAACCAACTCTTTGAAAGGATTGGAGAGCTACTAGAAGCAGGCAGGAACTGGAGGGAATTTGACCTTTGAAAGGAGGAACCAACCACATGGGTGAGATCTGTGCTTATACGTTTTTTCTTTTGAGGGTTCTCCTCAGTCTGCCATGCAGAAAGTTGAAATCTTATTGTTTGAGGTGTCAGAGGACAGAATTCAGGGCTGTCAGGTGGCTGGAAGTTGGGGGGATACATCCTAAAAAGAGCTAAATGCGTAGAAGGCTGAGCCGAGATTTCAGCAGCTGCCCATTTCATGGGAGACAGACTTTGGAGTCTAAATCCTGTCAGTTTTTCCAAGAGAGATTTGTTAACCACTTGGGCATCCTGGCAGGGTTGGGAGGGGGTGTCATACATAGGAGCAGACTATATCTCAGGATTAAAGATTTTTCCTCAGACTCAGGAAAAATCTAAACAGACTTGTCCTAAAGAGTATAAAACCAAGCTCCTATAACTTCAAAGTGATACATCATAATGAACTGCCTGTTGTTGTCAAAGGAAGACAACAGGATCTTTAAGCCTACTGCCCACAAAATCAAGTATGCAATAAAAAAAAAATTACTAGACATGCAAAGAAACAGAAAAATGTGACCCATACTTAAGAAAAAAAAATCATTTAATAGAAACAGACCCCAAGGTAACTCAGATGTTTCAATTAGCAGACAAGTACTTCATAGTAGTAATTATAAATATGTTCAGTGACTTAAAGGAAAATATTTCCATAATGAGTGAACAGATGGGGAAATCTCAGCGGAGCAACAGAAACAATTTTTTTTTTTTAAGAACCAAATAGAAGTTCTAGAACTGATAAGACTCAGAAACAAAAATTCAGTGGATAGGCCTGATATCAGGCTGGCGGCAACAGAAGAAATGGTCAGTGAACTAGAAGACAGGGAAACATAAATTATCTAATCTTAAGAACACAGAGCAGAAAAGACTTAAAAATGAAAGAGTTTCAGTGACACTTGGTATAATGTCAAATAGTCTAATGTATGTGTAATTGGAATTTCAGTAGGAGAAGTGAGAATGGACAGAAAAATATTTGAAAGAATATGGCTGAAAATATTCAAAACTTGATGAAAACCATTAATTTATACACCCAGGAATCTCAGTAAGCTCCAAGGAAGATACACACACACACACACACACACACACACACACACACACACACACACACATTATAGTTAAACTGCTGAAATAAAGGTAAAAAGAAAAATCTTGAGCAGCCAGAGAAAACAAGTGACACGTATACAAGGGACTAATGGCATAATACATACCTGACTTTTTATCAGAGAGAATGAGGCCAGAGATCATGGAGTGATATGATGGCGAAGTGATAAATGCTGACATTCTACACCCGGTAAAATATATCCTTTTAAGAAATAAAGGTAATGGTGACATTTTCAGTTAAATGAAGCTGAGATAATTCTTCCTCAGGAAATGTGAAAGGAAGTTATTCAGACCGAAGAGAAATAACACCTTGGGTCTTCACATGGAAAGAAGATACCAGAAATGGTAAACATGTGGGTAAAATAAAGGACTACTCTTTTTGTCCTGTAATTTCTTTAAAAGATAATTGCCAATTGTTTTTGCCTGTTGTCTATGCAATATAATACAGAGTGTACTCCCTGACCACATAGGTATTAGAAATTAACAACAAAATTTCTAGAAAATCTTCAAATAAAAGTTAAGTAATACACTTTTATGCTTATAAATTACAGAGTTAGAAGTAAAAGCCTTTTAAAACTCTGGAAGAAAACGTGGAAGATCTTGCAATCTTGGGGCAAGCAAAGATCTGTTAGGACACAAAAAGCACTAATCATAAAAAAAAAATTTTAATGATAAATTGGTCTTTATTAAATTACCTAAAAGAAAAGAAAATGAAAAGGAAAAAGAGACAAGCCACAGACTGGGACTAAATATTCTCAATATATTTATCTGACAAAGGACTTGCATCCAGAATATATAAAGGATCCCTACAAATCCATGATAAAAGATATGCAACCCAATATCAGAAACAGGTAAAAAACTAGAACAGACACTTTACAAATGACCAATAAGCACATGCAAAGATGCTCAACATAATTAGTAATTAGGGAAATGCAAATTAAAGCCACAACGAGATACCATGTCTCAGGCACTAGGATGCCTACAATTATAATGACCGGCCACACCGAAAGTCGGTGACGATGTGAAGAAATGGGAACTGTCGTATGTGGCTGGTGGGAACATACAACCCTTTGGAAAGCGGTTTGGCAAGGACCTGCAAATTAAATACAGACTTACAGTATGACCTAGCAGTGTTTCTTCTAGGGATTTTCCCAAGAGAAAAAAACATTCATCCACAAAATGGCTTGTACATGTGTTCTTAACAGCTTTGTTCATAATACTTAAAAATTGGAAATAGTTCAAATGGCCATCAATTATGGTATAATCATACAATTCATTACTTCTCAGCCAATCTGAGGATCGACACAAGTCACAGCACCATGCCCGTGGTGAGACAGGTAAGAGTAACCCTAGACAAGGAGGAGGAACATAGTGAAGTCAGAGGCCAACACCTGAAGATCAAGAGTGAGGAATTCTGCTTCCTTGTGAGGCCAGGCCCTCCCCTCTGACTGCCAGGCTAGACTCTCCTCTCTGAAGGCCACAGAGCACACAGGTCCACTTCTGGCACCTGGACTGCATCTTGGAACAATGGGGCAGAGAAACCTTGGGCAGCATCAGAAGCTTAGACCTCACTGAGTTTAAGTTTTAAAACAGTAGAAACTGAGAAATCTTCAGGAGTAAAATGAAATGTTCCATTAATGCCCACCGGAAGGGCCTCAAGCACAAGATAGGCTAGGATATAAAGAAAAAGGCTGAAAACTATATTTTTGGCATTTCTGACATGCAGGTGAGCTATTCGTGTATTTCTAGAAGTCTAAGTATGAGGGACTGGCCATGAGGGAAGCAGCCTGAGAGAGGAAGGAGGGAACTGTGGCCTGAGGCCTGAGGTACTCCAGGTCCAGATTTCAGGGTTCCTGTGCCCAAAGGGGTACCCAATCACAACAGGTCCTACAGCAGCATCAGTGAGCTGCTCTTGGACGTTGAATGAGCTCAGTGCAGCTTCACCCCAAACAAAGAATATTTTCCACATGGGGAGGGTGCCAACTCTGAGAAACATGCCTAATATTTTGTCAAATATTAAACTTTACTATCAAAATAAAATCTTAATGCTCTCATGAAATCCTAAAGATGTTTAAGGGTTCACCCTGGACTTCAGAATGCAAGGAGCAGTGGTCCTTCCCTCCATCCTCTGTGCTCCCACCCCCACACGTGACCAGTGGATCACAAGACCATCTCAGTGGCCCCAGGGTCTCTGAGGTTCTTACATTGCCAGAAAATTCTAGAGACAGGTTGGAACTTGAGTGACCAATCACCTCAGCTGGCCTGGGACTGTCCCAGTTTTAGCTCTGAAAGTTCCACGTCTCAGGACATCTCTGTGTTCCACGCAAACTATGCTTTGGCCCCTTTGCCAATAGGTCAAGAGTTGTAGGTCAGGGGCTCTCCCTCCCGGCAGGGCCGCTGCCTCCCATTCTAGAACCTGTAAGACAGGCTACGTGACGCCACCACCTGCCCACCTTGGCCTGTTCTCCTGGCTGTGGGATCTTTGCTGTAAGCCCACTCTACCCAGTGCCCGCTTGGATTTCAGCTACAGCCTGTCTGCCTCCGCAGTGCTTGGTGCCTCCAGCCCATCAACACCCAAGAGGCCAGAGTTTAAAACACTTTTTTGAACACCTGTGAGGTGCCTGTCAATTTACACAGCAGTCTGTTCTGATGACAAAGAACACTTTTATTTGTGGGGGTTGTTTAATTCAGAGCTATGTAATTCCAAAGTGCTTAAAACTCCCGTGGCA